AGGCCAGTTCTCTACGCACTTATGAAACCAGGCGGTGTTCATGGCTGAAAAGAACACAACAATGAGAACCAAAGACGGTTAAGGGTTGGTTGTGTGACTTGTGGTTGTCTAGGTATACACTAAAGTTCGACGGTTCAAAGATATCAAATCTACCGATTGATCGAGTATATCCGACATAAGTTCACTACGGAAAGTTCAAAGGGAAACCTACTTATCCAGATGCAATTAATCCTTACTTGCGAATCACACAGTTTTTCATGCATACTTCCGTGATATAGCCATTCCCCATTCATGTGGGGGATTGTTGGGTTTTGGATGTGTTTAATTAATATATTAAATACTTAAAAGAGGGTGAATGGTAAATGGAGGGAAATAAAATTTTTGAGTGAAATTTTAAGTTCCCCCCTTGGCAAATGGGCATTGTCCCATATTGGAAGAGGAAGAGGTTTTTTATGGGTATATAAGCAATTGCTCTTCTTCTAGCTCTTAAAGAGTTGAGAAGAAGGCAAGCCTCGCGTCGTCGTCGTCGTCGCTCGCTCGGCTCGGCTTCGGCTTCGGCTTCGGCTACGGATTCGGATTCGGATTCGGATTCGGATTCGGATTCGGATTCGGATTCGGATTTGGATTTGGATTTGGATTTGGATTTGGTCAAATGATCGATTGATTGATTAACTTTTTGGACCAAATTTATTTGTTAATAGTAAAATATTAACAGAAATGTTATTAAATATTTGTTTTAATAACAAAATATTAATATTAAATATTAATATTAAATCCAATCCGTTTTTCTGTTTTGTTAACAGAAAAGTAACTACCCTCTTCAATTTTCCCTCTTTATTTTCCCTCTTTATTATTGAGTAAATGACCATTTATGTAATGGCATTTATGCTGTGGGCGTTTTGCATAAACAGCCATTCTGAAGAGTTGCACCTCTTCAGATTTCAGCCCAACTTTGGCTATAAATACAACACTATTCTGCTCAGAATTTCACTACGATTTTCAGAGTTTTCTCTCCTTCTGCATACTTTTAGCATCAAACAAAGTAAAAAGTAAGTGTGATTTGCTACCGAACTTTGTGTTCGCTGAAACACTGGGGTTTGAAGTACCACTACACCAGTGTGTAATTCGTTCTATCCTGGGAGGAAATAATCCATAACCTTGGGTACTAGGAGGGGATTAAATTCCTTAAGGAAACACTGTGAATTCAGTGGGCTCGAATTGGTTTTATGTCATTTCTGTTTATGTTCATTTCTGTTTATATTCATTTATATTTCCAGAATTATTTTACAAATACAGTCTACTAACAACTTGTAGTAACTTTTGTATTGTTTCTACCATCTAACTTTTATTATAAAAAAACTGAAATAACATATGCCTGATTTAAGTGCAAGAATAAGAAGCGGAGGAGGGTTAACTAGAAATATGGGTCAGAGTGAGTAATAACTGCCAAGTCCATCAACCAATCTTATACCTTCCACACTGTAGCACGAATGCCAGCTCCATCAGGTATCCCTTGTGATGCTAGCCTCCTGACTTCTCCCATATTTATAATCTTTCTTGACAACTAAATTAAAAAAAGAAAAAGAGAAAAGCTGATTAATACTCTATTCAACAAGAATGCAAAAATACCACACAATGGAACTTCAGTATCCCGAAATGAGCTGCTTATAGAAGGATTAAAGCCTGTTTGGTTGGATCTTTTTCTCTGATTAAATCAATAGTTAGTTCCAGATAAATCAGTCTCATTAATCATAATCAGTGTCTGGCTATCATATGACAAAAATTACTTTTTCAACTAGTATCCACATATTTCTCAAACAAAAATGATTACCTATCCTTTTCTAAAGCAACAGCACCAACAACATCTATGCTACAATCCCAAGCTAACTGAGATTGGGATTGTCTATATGAATTCTTATTATCTATTCGACTGCAGTTAGCCTTGTCTTGCTCAAATATTCAATAATTTGGGGTTCTCTAAAACTAGAGGTTCTCTACATTCTCTTTCTGAGTATAGGTTTTACGCAATGACAGTGTAAAGATTTTTGACACCATCGGGATACTTAAAAGGAAATTTGCAAGTAATTCATATAATAAACATTTTGGTAACCTATAATAAATGGCAAGTAACATGTTATAACAGGTTAAATCGCACCTATGGCGTAAAAAATCTTTACACTATCAGGGTATAGAATTTAAACTCTTTCTAGAATCTGCAAGCTTCTTAGCACTCAAGCAACAATAGAACATCAATTCACAGCATAGTAGTAAGATGTATTTATCATAAAACACATGAACTAATCAATGCAATAGATAAGTATAAACCAATTGATATGCAAAATATATTATTGAATTGACCTCTTGAAAAAGCTGAGCTTGACGAGAAATATCTTCAGCTGAAGAAATAGCGGCAGCAGCAGCAGCGGCGGATGCAGATGTCGTAGTACTACTAGCGGAACTTCCATTTTCATCATCACTATGGTATAAATTACTACTACTATTCAAAGGATCTCTAATTTCCGCTTTAGCGCGTGCAGGCACGTGCCGAGTCTCCTCTCTAATCACCGGCGGAGCCTCCGTCCTTTCCACCGGAAACTCTCCGCCACTTGCCGAACCAAGAGATTTAACGGCGGATGATTTAGTAGCTGGGCGTGTAGACGACCGGTTAGAAGTAACGTCGTCGTCATCGTCATTTAACGGCGCCGGAGATGGAGATGGAGATTGAAGTGAGGGTTGTTGTGGTGAAGGAGAAGACCATAGAGAGCTATTGAGCCAATCGGGGACGCGTTTGTTAACCATAACGTACAATTTAGAGAGAGAAATTATTTAATAATTATACAATTTGAAATGAAGAATTGGAGTGACGGCGGAGGAGATGGCGGTGAATACGGCGGAGACGGTGGCATTTATTGATGCTCCGGCGAGGCGTCATTTTGTAGTCGTGGGAGCATTTTAGATGATCAGTGTTTTTAGAGAGAGAGAGAGAAAGGAGAAGTTGCCAGGTAGATATGTAGAGATCACGTGACAGTCACGTGCGGAAATGAACCTTTTCGGTTTCGGGATTACTTGTTGGCGATTAAGAGGAAATTAGTATGAAAAGCCTAATAAGCACATTGCTCAATGATTATGGTTTCAATGTAGTAATTTTTTTTATTATTTTTTTTGAGTATTGAATTCTACTTTTTCTTTTAATTTTATTTGAAACTTTTTATATAAATGTTATTTTAGTCATACCACTTTTTTGATTAACAAAAATAACATAAGAGATATGTAAATAAAACATTAAGAATATTTATAAGATTACCTTCTTCTATTTAAATTATAGTATATGTGACTATAAGAGATCATTTTTTTCGCATTGTCACACTAGCTAAAATGACAAATTATTTTGGCATAATTGTATTATTGATACTCCATCGTATTTTACTCATATGTTAAAATCTTTTAGTTCGATAGCTGGTCAAATTATTCCGAATAAACTAGGATGAAGGGGATATTATTAAACCTTTTTTTAAGTTGTAGCCCCTTTACAATAGTATCCTAAACTTTCTAAACAATGATCACACTAAAAAGAAATTAGTGATGATAATTTTTAATTATTTTTTCCTTTTCTTCCTAATAATTCAACTCCAAATCCAATTGTTTCCTATATGAGTATGTGAAGTTCAAACTACCAGTTTTATGTTGTCATATTCCAAGCATTTTCTATCTGTCATTCAATTTAATTTTTTTGAGCAGTCTAACAGTTTTGCTTTCTTTTTTTGACAATTTCTTTTTTTTTTTGAAAAAAAATGTTTTCGGTAGATTAATTTAACAAATAATGTAATTTTCCTTTTTTCTGGTTTAACGTAATTAATAGCTCATATACGCTTCCCAAATCTATATATCTATTAAAGCAAAAAAGTTACCATATATAATTGACACTATGGTTAAGCCAAGTGGCAAGCTAATAAATGTCAATAGTATATGGTAACTTTATTCTATATTTGATTATTTTAATTAAATACAAATATAATATAATATACATACATAAATATAATACATATATATATATATGTATGTATATATATATATATATATGAATTTATAGATAAAGTTCTAAAATTCGAATTTAAATTAAAAAATAAAATTTATCTTTTTTTATTATGTTATCATACTTAATTCGGTTAATGATNATATAATTGACACTATGGTTAAGCCAAGTGGCAAGCTAATAAATGTCAATAGTATATGGTAACTTTATTCTATATTTGATTATTTTAATTAAATACAAATATAATATAATATACATACATAAATATACATACATATATATATATATGTATGTATATATATATATATATACATACATATATATATATATATGCACGTAATTTGAATTAAAAGATAATTTTGAATTTATAAATAAAGTTCTAAAATTCGAATTTATATTAAAAATAAAATTTATCTTTTTTTATCATGTTATCATACTTAATTCGGTTAACGATCATCTATATATATATATATATATATATATTAAAGCAAGAAAGTTACAATATATAATTGACATTATGGTTAAGCCAAGTGGCAAGCTAATAAATGTCAATAGTATATGGTAACTTTATTCTATATTTGACTATTTTAGTTAAATACAAATATAATATAATATAATATAATATACATATACATATACATATACATATACATATACATATACATATACATATACATATACATATATATATATATGTATATGTATATGTATATGCATGAAATTTGGTTAGGAACTTTTGTTATTTTTTCTAATTATTTAAATACTACTTCGCCTCTAGCAAAAAAAAAAAAAAAACACTACTCCATATAACTATAACACTCTTTCACATTTAAAATCCTATAAGTATAGTTCTTTGGAACACTGTAGCTAGATTTGAATAGAACGAAATTCTTTTAAAATAAATGTAATATATAGGGTACACGTCTATGTTTATCTAAATAACAAAAAAGAGTTTACAAAATCAAATAAAAGTTTACTTACATATATAATAAAGTAAAAAGAGTTTACAAAATCAAATCAGTTAATATTAAAAAAAAGGTTGTTTCTTTTTTCTTCTTGAAGAATATTTATTTGAAGAGTCAATTTGCATAAATGGACATCAAACAAATAACAAAACTTTGGCTATACAATTG